GTATCATACCAGGTCATAATAATCAATACAGTCTCAGTATACAGAGCTGTATATACACAGTGCATGCTGAACTGAGAGACTATATAAGTTGTAAATCAGTGTCAGTATTTCAGAGAGAGCTGTGCAGTGTGAGAAAGCTGCAACTCTCAGTCACATGCACAGAGAGTGAATTGTTACAGTAAGTATATATACATTGCATGAAAGTAATACTTTTTAATAATACTCAGTCTCTGATATTATAAAAATAGAGTCTCTCTGTGAGATCTGTTTTTATCAGAAGTCAGAAAATCTTATATTTCTCAAGATTATCTTCATCTGTCTTATCTATGAAATTAATGAGAGAAATCATTGATTTCAGTATTCTGTTCTTGATATCATTCAAGTGACAGCAGAGTTCACTCTGACCACACTTTTTAAGTGTATATTTTCTAAATATTCACATTTATATAGATATATACTGATTATTTATTAGATAATATTAAGATAATGACTCATTACAGCTATGTTACTCTCACTGTAAGAAATATATAATTAATAATAAATATTGTAAAGACTCTGAGAAGTGAGTATTTTAAGAATACTGCAGCTCTGTGATCTTGATTTTTTTTATTTTTATTTTTTATTTTTTTCTTTTTCTTTTCTTTTTTTTTTTTATTCATTCTGATTTTTTCTTGTTTTTGTTTTGTTTTTTGTTTTTTATTTTTTTTTTGTATTTTATATTTTTTTTATAATTAAAATTATATGAATTATAATCTGTGTTTAGAAAAGTAATGATATTTAATAATACTCTCTATTGAATTTTCAACAAATGAGCACTATATTATGATATTATGTAAGTGAGAAGTGATTTTATAGTCTTATTTAATGTTATTCTCAATAATGAGATCAGAATGAAAATGTGACTAAGAATTCAAATATATTCTTTATTCAGAACTAGATTTTTATTTGAAAAGTGAATCTGAGACCTTTAATATTTAAAATAATGTGATTTAAAATTAATGTAATGAATACAAATCATGATTAGAAGTAATGCTTTTAGACAATATGATAACTGTAAAGTTTAGTTCTGGTCTCAGACACGGTCACATAGTCAGTCTACTACTGAGCTTCTTGTGAGTGTTCTCACAACTTCTTTAATCACTTTTTACTGGCTGATGAAGCAGAGATGCTGTTATTTATAATTATATCTTCATTCTCTTCAGCTTCACTATCATACTCAATCTTCAGATTAGTAGCTAACTCTCTATCTCTCTCAGATCAGTCTCTGACTTCAAGTAGTGTAGTCTTCTTCTTTACTGTAAGTCTTCTTACAAGTAATTTCTTACAGATTCTAGCTGACAGTTTTTGTGAAGCTCTCAGTGTTATCAGTGTCTTCTGCAGTCTCACAGGTCTATAATTATCTTCTCTCTACTCACACAATCTCTGATCAGATATATACAAATATGTCTAGGTTTCTCATCAATGATTCTCACACTGCAGCACATTTTCACAATCTTATTATTAATAAGAGATGAGTCTCTGAGTATCTGTAAAATCTGAGTAATCAAGACAATGTAAATGTTATAAATTTGTGATGAGAGTTAATCTGAACAGATGAGCTCTCTCTTCATATCTTAATTATTTCTGAGCTGAATACTTCAGTACAACTAGACTGGCCGGCGGGACCATGAATTTCACATTTGGTCCCATTTGATCTGGTCTCATACATTTCTTGGCATGAGTCCCACCAGGACCAAGTCTCAAAAAAATCTGAAAATGGATCATTTCTGAGAGAAATGATGTGAAAAATGACCAGATTTAATTCAAGAACAGTGAAATGAGAGTAATTTTCCAGAATAAACTGTGAAAGATGATCATTCTTTCAAAATCAGAATGAGACTGAGACTGAAGATCAAAATCAGTCTCATTCAGTTCATTCAGTGATTGCTTATATAATCAGAATTTGGTAATGATTATTGATAATGCTCATGAAACAACTAAATACATTCTTATACAAGTTTATTCTTCACTTTCTCATGAAAACTATACTTCTCTGATATACTGTGATCAGAGGTATTAAACTGTCTGATAATTCCATGTTTTACAATCATGAGTTTCTTGATTGTTTCTCCTTGTAATTGTCCTCAATGATAGTGACAAATATCTCAACTTGAGTTGAACTTTCACTTCATTCTCACCTCTATCAATGAAATTGTCAGAATATCACACATTATCAGTGCAACAGTTGAATATGTACTCTCAACAATTTTTTATAACTCTAGAATTGATTTGATGTGTAAATTTGTTGAATCATCTTGAAGATAGCAGTCAAATTCAGTTTTATAAGCATGTAGTTTTGTCTGATTTTCAGTTACAATCAATATATGTAAGTTCTGTTTCAAAGTTAGTATTATAGTTCTATGTGATATGAAGTATTATCAAAGATTGTTACTTATTAGAGAATTGTATTTCACTGTCTTCACATCTTGAACATCTGCTCATTCAAATCTCTGATAGTTAGCATTGTAGTAGTCTCAGGCTAATTTGACATATGAGTCTCATTTCTTCTCTGTTCAATCTTAAGAAGTGTAGATATTAACTTGATGAGAGAAATCTAGTAGAGCTGCTACAGTATAGTACTCTGCAAAAGATTGTTCTGTTTTGCTGTAGTAATATATCAGTTTATTCCTTACAGCAACAATAGCCTGCACTATAGCATTATCTCAGACTGAATTTCTTTTTGAGTGATTTAACTGCTTCTTAAGATAAGTAAATAAACTGTTATACACTCACCAGGCTGACTGCAGCATTGGTGTATGAGTGATTGAGACTGTCTTTATTGTCTTATAAAACTGAAACAGTAAATCAATCACATATTTCAACTGAGTTCACTTCATATCAGAAAGTTTCAATATCTGAATCTTTTTCTGATCAGAGTGTTACACTCAATGATCAATCATCTGATATAATTGAAGAGTCTGAACAGCTATCTTATATATTAAACTTCACTGTGTTCTAATATTCTGTATCATATTCAGTGATGTGACTGATTTGTT